GTGCAAGAAGCAGCCTTGAAGGCATGTATTTTAAACCTTCTCAATAGAACAATTGGGATCTAAGTATTGTAAGTCACTTTTGTGACCATCTAGTATGCTTTGTTCAATATCAAAACCAACAGAAATGAGTGTGTATGTTAGACCTAAAATAATGAAAACACTGTGCTCGATCTAAAAAAACACCAAAAAAAACCCAAACAAAATACATCCATTGTAACTCACCTCACCAAGAAAAACCCCCCATCAAAAGCAACACTAATGGATCAAGGGACACTACTTAGGAATTGAACAGACATTAACCCTTTGAGCCCTGACCTCCTCAGGCTACTATGCCCCTCTGTCTGAGCTCCTGATAGATTCCCACCTTTTTATTCATATCATCGTCAGATTCATATTTCATATCCCACTGAGGGTAGTCTTCGACATTACCAGCATCTAAATCAGAAAGATCTTCAAAATATTCAATAATGTCCTGTGTAGTAAGCACCGTTTTCTATTCACTTTTTGTCCCAGGTGGGCTGGTTTGGGCATAGGGCCCAGGGCTCCCCTTTACGCACATTTGTGCGTATATTACCCTTTAAACCTGCAAATTACCCCCTTAAAGTTTTGGTGGTGCGTGAGCTTTACTCTTTAAAATTTCGTCTCGGGGGTTTGCATACGCTTTAAAACTCCGGTAGTGTGCGTCTGGCAATCATCATTTCCCCCCTTCTCTACCCTGAAGCCGAGTCAATGATTTAACTACACACCCACACACATAACATCACAGTCACCTTTTATCTGGGACTCTTAGAAGCAGAAGACCTAGATCTAGAAGAATCTACTCATCAGCTGCGCGCAGTTCCCGACGACACCGGCTTGCTTGAGCACAGAAGCTCCGCCCACATTGTGGTCGCTCGCATTATATTTGCCCCATCCTTCTTTAACACACTAGATCTAGTAAACTTGAATTGTCCACCATCGAACAACTGGGATGGCTCTGAAGAATAAGGAATTAGTTTATTTTCCAAACCTGCCACTCATCCCGATGTATTCGGGATATCCAGATTATTTGCCCCAAATTTCCAAGCATCTCGATTTTCCCAATGTTGATCCCGTGTATTCGGATTTAAAATTTTTTTTTTTGGTTCCGTCTGTTGTGCCGGATTTTTTGTAAAATCTTACTCTGCCTTCTTTTCTGTCGTGGGAAGCACTCGTTAATAAACTTTTTGTCAGCAGAAACTCGAAGCACTATTTTCCGAAATGCCTATGTCGAATTTAGTTGTTGTGTTGGATCTTTGCACGCCAGTGTTGTTTCAAGAAACATGTACAATGGAAGTAGTACTGGTTGGGAATTCCCACTTGGGACATTCTCAAGACCTAGGCCCTAAATCATAATCATTTTCGCTTTTATTTTTGTTTCAACTCAGAATTCTCCACTGATGGCCTGACTGATAGCTGTTTAGTTTAAATTGCGACGTACAAATGGTCAATATTATTCGTAGTTCTGCTATTACTTTCAAAACAAGCTTTATCCGAGTTCTGGTTAGCCGGGCTCGTCATCAAGACCCGTCAGTAAAACTCTTTCAATCGCGCTTTCGCGCCACGTGACATGTCTCCGACCAAAGTGAGTTCCGCGTGTGTCGTGGACCGTCCGTGTACGGGGTCAATTTAAGTTCATGCACACCGGCTGAAGCGTCTTTCGGGACTTATCTGGGGGGACGGGACGGGGCGCGTGTAAAACACTAACTAGGACAGCTTGACGTGATACTTCAAGATTTTAAAAAAATAATGGTAAACACACACAGGCACGGGTACGCACACGCACAAACTCACCCCCCCCCCCCCCCCCACACACACACACACATACACATTCCTGGAAATTGTTTAAGTCAGTTTGGCAGTGACCTTGGTGATTTGTCGTTGATCCCGATTTTTTTCCCCCACTGAGATCCTGACTTAGTTTTTTTTTAGCTTTAGTAGAGGTTTTACGGCGCTCACAACTGCATAAGGTCATATGAGCGCCAAGGGGTGGATGTCGACAGGGAAGTCCTTACAGGGAATCAGACTTACTCTGCTCTCCTCTCTAGCTTCAACAGCACAAAGTCTGCTTTGACTATCAAGGCACCCCGGAAATAGCGGGTCACAAGAGTGTGACAAACATACAAAAGAAGTAGAGGAAAATGACGATAATAAGGATTAGGAAAGAAAAGGCAGCACAGTATGAGTATGACATTGTTAGATCAGCCCATTTACAATTCTACTGAGCCCTAGCACGAGAAATGTCCCCCCTTTTGGGAATGACCTAAAGACACTTCAGTCAGTGGCACTGCCCCGGGAGGGGGGTGATCCTGACTTTTAGATTTCATTGATTGGCAGGTCTGATTTTCTTTGTGCATTACAGTTGGAATTGACCCCTTTTGGTTTGTCAAATTTATTTTATTTTTGATTGGCTCAACGACCACCACCCTTCCCCCCTCCAAATGGACACAACTCTAAGTGTAGTCAATATTACTCATTTATTTCTTGCTGTTACTAAGAAACCTTAAGTTAATTAAAAAATTGTTAGCATTCAATCATAGTTATGGTCACTATATGTGTGTCTTAGTTTAGTTTAGTACAGGGTTTTACGGCGCTCGCAACTGCATAAGGTCATATGAACGCGCGAAACACAAGTTGGTAGCATTCGCAACAGTTCACTGCACGTTTGGTCGACAATTAGATTTTAAAATGCTAAAATACTAAAATTCAGTGTAAATATATTTGCGATTTAAAACAACTCTTATAAATAACAATAAAAATGTTGTGTCTGTGTGTATGTGCGTGCGTGTGAGTTAAATGTTTACATGCAAAAATTCTTACTATAAAATTAGGAAATAATTGACTTTTACCCTTTAAGTTTCTTAAACAAGGGTTTAAATATCCATTAAGATAGAAAACCAAAGGGTGAAAGAACCTCTTAAGTTTGTCTGAAAAGGGGAGCCCTGATAGGGTCTCACTCACAGGTGTACTAGTGGCTAGGGCTCAAATGATTAAATAACAAGCCTTTCCTATTTGCAACTGCTGAGACCAATTGTGGGTAGGTAAATAGTGTAAAAACAGTTGAGAAATCAAAACCAACAGGGATGTGGGTTTGGTGTTTCTTGTATGTCTAGGACTACCAACGCAGTGTTAGTATCGGCAGTCAGTGAGTTTAACAATAACATCAATGAAACTTTGCCACAACATACAAATTTGAAGACTAGTATTAGGTGAAAGAAACTAACAGGGTCATAAGTGTCCGGCAGACAAAAAGGATACCACCACCATAGGTCTGTCCTTTAATACAAAGGCATTTGTCTCCTTGAGCGCACTCTTTGCTGCATCTTCATTGGGAAAAGTGATGAATGCCTGACCCTTCATCCTACCCTCCTTCATCAGCCGGATGTCAAATCTAAAGAGCACAAAGTCAATGTCGTACAGTGAGGTTCATCACGAATAAGTAGCAGAAGTAAAGGCAAAACATATTGGACCAACAAAACTGCTTGAAGTTCACACAATAAAATAACAAACACACTCCACTCTCCCTTTTCAGCCCCTGGCTACTTGATAGTATTGCGCAAAGACAAAGAAATAAACTGTAATAGTAAGGCAAATTGTATGAAATACAAAACAAAACAGAGCAGACACCATTGTTAACCCTTCCAGTCCCAGGCATTTTTGTGCACTCCCTAACCCCAGTCCTAGCCAATACAGCAGTATTTCAGAAAGAAGAGGCATGCATTTTAAAACGTGATGAAGTATCTTTGTAATGAGGTTTAGATAATAACATTTAACAATGTTTAAAGGTAAATTAACAAATATTATTACAAAAAATTAAAGTTTAATTAGAATCGTATATGCTCTTGGGACGGTGGGAGGTACAAGTGCTGCTGAAAATATACGCGCTTGGGGTAGAAAGGGTTAAATCATAGTTTATGGCCAGTCCACAAGATAGCACTAACATTTCACAAAAATTAAAAAACATATATTTTGGTCAATATTAACTTTGAGTACACTGTACCAGAGCACCCACCAACCATACACTACAAATATGAGAGACATCTTAATAACCAAGATGACAAAGAGGACACAAAAATCTAAAGAAATCACTTACATGTTCACTTCGGTCTCAGAGTCCCAGTCGACGTGGCGGCCAAAAATCCGATGGAGGTCCTATGAACGAGACATGATGATCATTGTCCAGAGACCCCGGTGGATATTTCAGACATTCTAGTAGGCCTACATGACATACTATGTAATTTGCGAATTGCATTGGGTATATTATTTTTTTATGTATTCGTATGTGTGCTAATTTCGTAACGACGTGAAAGCTTCCGCATGTGATAAGCAAGTAGATGTGTGTGTGTGTGAGCGTGCACGTGTGTGTGAGTGTGTGTGCCTCTAGTAATGTGTGTGTCTCTGTGTGTGTGAGTGTGTGTGTGCGTGTGTGTCTGTGAATATATTCGTACATGCATTTATGTAAAGCGCCTAGAGTTGTGTTCACACAGGAGTGGGCGCTACAGAAATGATCTGCATTATTATTATTATACTACAAGGCTCAACAAAATTAGACAAACAACAAAAAGCTTTCACCAACAAACCTAGTCCTGGTGTTACAATGTCAAGACACATTACCCAGCACAACACACAGAAACACACCATTCACTCATTTTAAGTGTATTTAGACATTGCTGAATCCAGGGCTCGAATCAGAGAAGGGCTAAAATTATTTTCCTCATTCTTTCAAGAACATTTCCCTTCATCTTGGGGATTCAAAAAGGGAACAAAGTGTTCTGCCTTCAAAATAACCCACACAGTGCCTTGCAAAGTCTTTCCAAATTCAACAACAAAGAGTTAAAGTTAAAAAGCTTTACAGATTGTTCACAGGATATCATCAAGTCAGCACTAACCTCTTCTGACACTTGCTTGGCCAAGTTCTTGATGTACAAACGGCAAGATGGTTCTCCTGCTGCATAGCGTCTGAACACACTCAGTTCCTTCATCTCTGCAGTTGTTAAATAAAGCAAAATTATTTCATCAAAAGGACAACGGAACTATTTTTTGCTTCTAATTTGAAAATTGATGTGTAATTGCAAATTATGAAATATTTTAGTGAGCTGTGCTCCACACACTGGATTCTTCCATTTCCGTTCAAACTGAATCAAATACAATCAAATATGAATCTATCATCAGTATGCATCATAGTAAAGGAAAAGAATATATATATATATATATATATATATATATATATATATATATATATATTTGGGCTTATGAATTTGACTCATTGATTGTGCAGTAGTGTGTGAAAGTCTTTAAGTGTAGTTTTTCAAAACAAAATAAGCTGTTGTTCCAATGAAAATACAGTAAAAACATACAGGAAAAATAACAACATATACAGAAACTAACCAGACTCGGACAATCTTGACTTTTTCAGCTCAGAGGAAGAGATAAATCTTGTCCTGCTCCACTTTTGCTCTGAGGATTCATCTTCCTCCTCATTCTTGGTCTCCTGGAACAAGAAAATTAATTTTTGTTGGGCAAAAAAAGCACGTTTAGCCACATAAAATATCACATTGATTGAAGAGGCTAAAAGGGCATAATGATGAACATTTTGTCTTGAGCCAAGAGAAGACCAAACACAGAGACTATGCAAATGTGTAGAATTCTACAGGTGTTTAAAAACTTTCAGCTTTAGAGTCATTTCCACCTGGATCCAAAAGCACTCTCTACTCTAAACATCCAGTTATGACTTTTCCGTCTGAGTTCACTTTCAACTGATAAGAATATACACAGCCACAAGCTGACATACAAACTGTGTTTTCCTTGAGTTTCTAGAAGACAGACTGTTGAAACTGAAGTATAATTTAGAAATCGAACAGCACAGGTACATTTGAACTAATCTGTTCAAGCCTTAGGAATTAGAAATAAAAATCTCTTGTTAAGTACAGTGAAACTCGGATTCAACGAGAGGAGATGGATTCCCCATTTTATTTCTTCTTTAAAATCAATAAAAATAACCTAGATTCAACGAGCACTTAAATAATCAAGCTTGGATTCAACGAGGTCGCTTCCAGAGTGAACAGCCCCCGCAGACGTGGCTACACTCATTTTTCTACTACAACAAACTTTACTTTATCAATTCCCGGGAACCATCCATTGCAACTGCATCGTGAACCATTATTCACTTAGCCGATCGCATGTGATCAATCAGCGGCCTTCTTTCATACCAACACATACATTGTTGGCACACGTGTGTTGGTGTCTGATAGGCAGCCTGCACACGTGTGACTGTGTGTGCGTGTCTAGGGGTACCAGCAGTAAGGGCGTGGAACGTCGCAGATACAAACGTTTCACAGTCTTTTTTTTTTCCCTGGCAACTGATCATTATTACAATGATAAGCTGGTGTTGACATAGATCTAAGTAATGAATTGCGTGCTGGTCTATGGAATCACAAGTTGCCGTATGCTAGACTCTAATAAGCAACACAACTTTTTGGTAAACAACCGAGATAAAACAGGCGTGCATTTGAATGAATCGTTTTTTTTGGTTTTTTGAACAGCTCATAATATGCAAGCAAATCAGGCACCACTTGTTACCTCTCTTTATACATTACTTGTTTGGGGCCTGTAATTATCAACACAAAACCTCATGTTGGCTATAACGAATACTCAGTCGGATTCAACGAGATTTTAGGTCAGGCCCGTCGACCTTGAGGAATCCGAGTTCCACTGTACCTTAGGCTGTGGCTGTAAGATTCCAAATCCTCCCACAACTGGTTCCTGGATCTGACCTGAAAAAAAGAAAAATATCAGGTTTTCAAGATCAAATCCTTGACAAACAAAGTGTTTCATTCTGGTTTGACAAATCAATAGTCTTTAATAAGAGATCAACAAATCGTAAATATGTTACGATGCCATGATAATGGAGGCACTCCTTGTTTTGAGGAATTTGAAAAGATTTCCAGCTTTGTGTCTTTCCTCGACTCAGAACCTGTTTTTTATTACTTTAAAATGTGTTGGCACATTTACATCTTAAATGACCCTTACCAGTGCAGTGTTTATTTAGGTGTTAAGACTCACATGAAACTCTCAGTACATTTCTTTTGCTTCAAGGGTAACCTCCTTTTATATGAAGTAGAACCAAACACCCTATATTAAATGTCCCAAATTTAGCTTGGTTCATCTCACACTCCGTCATCTTGCAGCCACATCATCTATTCAGCAAGCCCTGCACTTCCAGCTCCAATGTTGTATGTAATGGTCTGGTTCTTTGTATCACAGAATAAAGAAGAGGGGTCAAATCCTTTGATGAAAAGATATTTTATAGAGTATCTTCATCTTTCTGCAGAGAATTAACTCATACACCATAGGTTCCTCTTGACAGGGAAGGTAAAAGCTGTCAGCCTGCTGAATTACCTTTAGTGTTGATAGGGGCTCTAAAACATTAACAAACAACAACAACAAATTACCATCTTCTGAAACTCTGAAGTCTGAAACATTCCCTTCTCTCTGCAGACGCGCATCCTCACTGTGCAAGCGGGGCCCTTCTGAAGGGGGAGCAACTTGTTCCTCTAATGTCCGCTGAGACACAGGAGAGCTGGGCTGTTGTGAGGGAAGAGGTTGTGGTGGTAGATGCAGCTGGTCGCTTGGCTGAGACATTGAGAGCTGAGGTGCTCCAAAAGGCAATGGAGGACAAGGAACTGTGGGAACAGAGGGATCATACAAAGTCGAAGAAGAAAAGACCGTCTGAGGTAATGATGACAGTCTACGAACATCGGGCTGGGAGGCTGGAGGCATCAGGGTTCCAGAGATCTTCATTTCAATTTTCCGAGATGGTGCAGAATCGCTTGTTTTCTCAAATACTTCAGTGACGGGCAGGACAGGAGCAGAAGGCACAGAGTACGTGTCCACATCTTGGAGGTCCGACAACCGAGGTTTCTTGTGGGGTCGTCTTTTCTTTACCAGAGATCGTCTTTCTGTCACTTCTTTGACTTTATTTCTAAATAAGAGACAATAAGACAAAAATCATGTAGAAAGTTGAGTAATGCTCCTTGGCACACACTGACCTAATCAGTTACATGCTCCATCATTACACAACCTGGCCCTCCAGGAAATCGCGGTCTTGCGGCCGCGTTTTTCGTCGAGTTCCGCAATAAACCCGCAATTTTTAGCAATTTTCGCAATTTCTTGCAATTTTAGGCAAAAATACATCAACGCTTTAATCTTAACAGAATTTTTAATACGAAATGTTGCGAGTTCAGAGCCGATAGGCCTACGTAAATCATGGTATCCGCCCAGCTCAAGCCTACTGAGCGTACTCTAAAAGCTATAACTACTATAACCGGAAATTCAGGCCGGAATGCATCATGTACAGCACAAACTGAGACATAGGCTCGGCCGAGAAGGTGGCCTTCTCTGGGTTAGGCCTTTATCTAATGTGTGCAAGCGTGCACGTGGATAAAAAAGTAGGTGTGTGCGTGTGTGATGTGTACGTGAGTGTGTGTGCGTGTGAGTGCGCGCGCGTGATTATTGTTCGTACATGATGCATGTGTCTACATACACGGTAACCGTGCACCTAGTCTCAGTATCTACGTACACGGTAACCCACCGGAATGAATATTAACGCGTCTTGTCGGGCTCGCCATCGTTACCGGTCAGTGAACCTGTGCTTTCGCATCACATTGTGAGTACCGGTTGGAGTCACCAAAGTTCATTCAAAGTCTGTGAGCTACGAAGTATAGGGCTCCGGAATGGGAGAATTATTGATTTTTTTTTTTTTTATTAATGTACCGTGGGGGGGGGCCTAGAGTTGAAGGCAACACCGGATGACAAAAACTGAACTTGGATTTCTTAACTGCCCGGTTACCATGTACGTGACACTGAGACTACGTGTCCGCGTACCGTGTACGTAAACACCCCGTTATGTAAAACGCCTTAAGCTGCGTTCACACGGGAGTGGGTGCTATAGAAATGATCTAGATCTCCATTAGTACATGTATTACTATTGTTTATAAATGGAAAAAAAAATTTGCTGTATTTTACGATTTGACTTAGTGTTAAAACAATACCATGCCGGTTTTAAAACAGAAAATTTCTGAAATAGATCTAAATACAGATTACCGGTGTATCTAAGGTTTCAAGAGAAAAATAGAACAGGATCTGATTTGATTGGAGCATAAGCTTATTTTGTATTTAAAGGTTGTTTCCAAAATCTCTCGTCAATTTTTTTGGTTTTTTATAGACTAAGCCTCATACACTTCTATATTTTTGCATGAACCAAGTACCTGGTATGTACTAAATTTGGTCAAATTTTATGCCTTCATTTAAAAGTTATTACCAAAACTGAGGGTTCCGTTATTTTGCGTCACGTGTTATCACATTATATTTGGTTGATAACTTTATTGTTGACGTACTCGTGTGTTGTTACTAGTAAATGTTAATAACATTTGATGAATTTGTATTGTTTGTCATGATTTTTTAAAAGGCTGTGCTGCTTTTATGCTACCGGTACTCAAAATTGTCATGTTTTTTTAACTAAAAATGTTAAGCCCGTATTAATGCGCCTGGGATGGGAAGGTTGCAATTTTTTTCAATTTTTAGGCGGTTTACCTTGCAATGTTTTGCAATTTTTCTATTTCAAAAATGCAATTTTCTGCGGGGCCAGCACAACAAAACTATGACAGGACAATGCCTCTTCATCTCTTACAAGGTGACTGAACAGAATTTAGATTTTGTTTGAGACAGACGAAGACAATAGCAAAACAGGGGAAAAAAAAACACACTAGAGCATTTACCAAATATCCAGGTCAATCAAATACCCACAGATAATAAAAAAAAGAAGGTATCATTTTTAACATAATTCACAGATGTATCCAATATTCAAGTCGAAAAGCATACGGAATGCAAATAATACTCTTAGGTATTCATCAAATAGGCCTACATTCAATATTAAACAATCACATTAATGTAGAAAGAGTAATAAGACAGAAGTCATACACGCCACTCTGCTTCTTAGACTTCATAACTCTGCACCTTTCTCCTCCACTGCCACTATCCAGTTCCGATTCAGAAGAACTGGAAATGTCCATCTCACGTTGAGAAATGTCATCAGGAACAGAAGCCATATACACATCTGGAACCTGGAACAGACAAACAGTCAGATCTGAAATATCGCAGAATGCACAATAGATCTAGTACTTTTTCAAAAAGTGACTAAACTCAAAAGTTGTTTTTAAAATTTTTGACACGTCAAAGATAAAAATCAGTCATATGAAAAGAAAGCATTGACTCAAGCAATCAATCAGACAACGAGTTTTCAACAATGTTCAAACACAATTGTTTCAGCATTACAATGAGGAGATTACTATCAAAAGATAAAACCCAGAAACTTAAACTGACCACAATGTCATACAGAGATAAGATTTTTTTTAGCATAAAACACAAAGTACACTTCAAACAAACAGAAAATATCTGAGAAAGTATACGAACAATCGGTGGCTTGGGGGTAACCATTCCAAAAGGAGCTGGCAAATCCATCTTGTTCATCAGATGTAGAACCTGATCATAAACACAAAGAAGAGAATTTTCAATGTATTATGACAACGAAGCTACAAAATCTTTAAAAAAACTAAAATTAAAAAATCATCATTCTTTATCGTGTAGCTCCATAACCTTTTCTTATAAAATTTTTTCATCTCCTCAAACAGTATTGAAGATAAATGAAAGATTTAAAGAACAGCATATTTCAAACTGCTTGTTCTGTCGACAAACACAGATATCTCAATTTTCATCAACGCAAATATTTGTGCTGTTCACACACCACACACACATATCCTGTCATCAGTACTTATTGTGAGAAGTACATTCAGTGATATTATTTTGAGGATAGGTGGGAGGGTGGGGTTATGGACAAAAAAATATATAAATTAGGGAAAATGGCAACTACTATGCCGTTATATCAGGAGTGATTACACATTTTTATTCATTGCTATAAATCAATATTCTGCTTCAATAATATATGGTCTTGAAATTACATCTTGTGTCACTGAAGATAAATACTTACTACTTTTATTTTTCTGACCCAGCGGCCCTGTCCATGTGGCAAAGAATTTACAGATTTTTATCAGCTGTGTTTTGTCACTGTATTAAGTATTTCCGATATCTGGGGAGGCAGGTAGGTAGGTGCTACGCAGGTCTTTAACTTGAAGTGCAGGGCAGGAAATGAGATGGTTTGATACTGTTTCATCTTGGTAGTCACACAACGCCCAGTCAGGTGGGGTATCCTTGCGGATCCTATTTAGGTAAGAATTCAGTGGGATGTGTTGAGTTCGCAGGCAAAAGATAGTGACTTGTTCTCTTCTACTAAGGGAATTTAGGGCGGCTTTTGAGTTGGGAGCAATCATGTGTGCAAATACAGCTCTTCCAGTTTTGCCCAATGCCCATCCATTCAGCCACTGTTCCCTGGTATTGCATTTGATGATGTTCTTGACTGTCTGTTATGGTACTGGGTCTTGGGGTTGTGTTTGTGATGCTCCCTTCTTGGCAAGGGTGTCTGCTCCGTCGTTTCCTGGGATGTTGCTATGGCCAGGTATCCACTGTAAAGTCAGGTCAACGGCATAGGTCTGCTCGAAGGTGTTGATTGTTTGAGCCACAGAGAGGCAATAAGGTTTTCAAAATTTGTGTTTTCCAAAGCTTGGAGTATTGATCTTCCGTCTTTGAAAATTACAGTATCCTTGATTTTGTCGGGGTCATCATCATCATCCAGCACCAGATCTGCGACAGACATCGGCAATCATGATTCTCCATTCATTCCTTTGCTCAGATGCTCTCAAAAAAGCTACGTTTCCCTGATCATTCCCTGTTACCCATTTGTTTAGGTTCCCTAAGTATGTTGTTCTGGGCCTACCCCTGCCTCGTTTGCCTTCAATTTTGCCAGTGAGAGCTAGATGTTGAAGACCCTTATGTGTCGTTTCCTGATTGTATTTAACATTGAGCGTCCCATGAGGGCTTCATCAAGCACTACCTCATTTGATTTCTTTTCCTTCCACGATACTCTTAGCAGTCTCCTAAGAAGCCACATTTCTGTTGCTTCTATTTTATTTTCAGTGTATGTAGTGATTTTCCAGCATTCACAGCCATATAGAAGAGTTGACCAAACATAGCATTTAAGAACTTTCATTTTGGTGTTCATTGAGATGTTTCTATTTTTCAGGATTGGGCTCATTTTTATTGAAACTAGCCTTAGCCATTGTAATTCTCCGTTTGTCTGGGTACATAATGAAAATGTTGGTCAGGTGGAGGATTGCTGCTTCAATGGCGATGGCCTCAGCCTCATAATTTGTACAAGAAGTACCACACTTCTTGTCACTGAAGATAAATAAAATAGATATTATCCTTTCACGTTTTCATTTCAAAGATTTTTATTACACAACAACTTGACTATTCTCATAGGTATACCTGTACATAAAACTTTGGAACTGCAGCCAGAGCGTGCATGATATTTGTGAGAATTGACGGAGTCGGGGGAGGGTACTGGTATCTCAACTCTGGTCGTCTTGGGTATTTGAGTCTGTGGAGATAAAACGGAGTGTCACTCTGAACAGTAGTAATGGAAGTCCTTATCTTATGCCAGAGCCTTCAATAAGAACCACATTCACAACAAACATACCCATGCACACATACACTTAGCTTTTTTGTTTAAAAGTTATTTAGAGCAGGGTAAAAATAAAGACAGAAGCAAACAAACAGAGGTTGGATAGGGGAGTGGGTCCTATTCAAGAAGATAGGCCAGCTGACAATGTCCTCCAAAAACCCACTTGTCAATACGCTCCGCATACACAAATATAACTATACACACACTGAGGGACTCTCTTAAAACTCTCCTGTTGGATGGTGGGCACTTTTGGATTTCGTGGTTCAGTGTGCCAAAAGAAAATACATGGTCATCATCACACACCCTCCCCCCTCCCCCAACCGTCCCCTCCCCGCACCTCCCCATCCTCACTTTTCCCATCTATTTCTGGGAAAATATTCTCTTTCTTTTTCGTTTGGTAAGTGTTTTACAGTGCTCGCAACTACTGTATAAGGTCAAATGAGTGGGCTGGACATATTATTATTAAACATTTTCAGTTGGTAGGAAATTTTTCATTTTGCCCGGTTGGCGGCCAAAGCCTACTCTTATCGATTTTAGACCACCAAGGGATCTTTGACATGCGCAACTTTCACACGGGACCTCCGAGATTTTCCATCCTTGTCCGAGAAGGCTAGGTGTAGGTCTTTTGATCTTTCCTACCAGAAGATCAGGGATGTGGCTGAAAGACAGCAGTAAGAAGGGGCCTAGGAGAAGCAGAGAAAGGCTTCAAGAAAGAGTCAGGAGCCCAGAGGAGGGGGAAAAGGAGGTGAGGGGGTGGGGGCAGAAAGTGGAGACGAGAGCGGACCACAGAACACTGCAAAAGAGAAGGAAAGGAGGAGGTGAGAGGAGACAATTTTAGAGAAGAAAATGTTTCCGTTGCTACCCGGATTCGAACCCGGAATGTTGCACATGTAAAGGAAACAACAAATAAATATCCAAACAAACATCACTATTGCTTGCTATCATGCACAGCTCTGCATAAGAGGGTCAAAGGTTAAACTGTCTTTATCAAAACACTCAGAGTGAACACCCATTCATAAGTCACTGTCCCTTATCATTGATTGACGCTTCATGGTATCTCTCTGCTACAAAAAAAAAGATTTAACAAATGAATGACCAAAAACAAATTCTTTTCCTTCTTTCTAAACTTACCCCCATGTAGAAAAGGTGGTGTCAAATTTGATTTCCCTAGGCACTCTTTTCTTCTTCTCTGCTTCTGATAATTCTTCCACATTGTCTTTTTCTTCCTCCTCAGTAACTTTGGCTGGAAGGCTGAAACACAAGTTAATGTTGGATATATATTGTCCTTCAGAAAGCAGTTAGCTTCCACAAAAGTAGATGCATTTAGAGATCCATACCTGCAAATAGAATCGAAACATTAACTGCATCTTCACAACAAACACACATGCACATACTCCGGCTCTTTCTCATATATGTACAGATGAAAGTATACACTAAACACAAATCTCTCTCTCCCTCCCTCCCTCCCTCCCTCCCTCCCTCCCTCCCTCCCCCCCCCTCCCTCCCTCCCTCCCTCCCTCCCTCCCTCCCTCCCTCTCTCTCTCTCTCTCTCTCTCTCTCTCTCTCTCTCTCTCTTCCATACCAGTTTTCATGGTACATATCTTCACAATATTCCTTTTATACTTCAGCGACTTACTCATCTGGGTTATTCACTAAAATCAATTAGAACTGACCAATAACAAAACAGTGATTTCCTACAATACCTTTTTCATGCACACAGCATTTCTAGTAGGAAATCCCTTAACTATTAATGGTGGATTCTTGTTGATCTATTATATGCGACATATTAACTTTTTTTCTTGCCAGTTTGTTTAAAGTGAAGTATTATTAAGAAAGATCCAGTAGCAATCATTTTCTCCACTTTCTTCCATGACGCAATATTGTGTTAATGTCTTTTGGGGTTTTTTTTGTTTTAGTAGAGGTTTTACAGCGCTTGCAACTGCATACGGTCAAATGAGCGCCATGTGTTAATGTCGGATGAACAACATCATAAATATCAATCGATGTTATAGTAATGATTTGTTGCAGAAGAACAAAACACATTCTCACTGTCACAAATTAAGACACTCAGTTTCATAAAACCCTGCTTTAGAGGGTAAGCAAATGTGTAAAGACATAGTGGAATCAGGCGCTTGTCAATTTTTCGACATATGAAGTTATTGGTATAATCTTACAGGATATTCATTTGCCTTGCTTTGGACGGGAAAAAATATCCATTTATCTTCAATGGGAAGTCGACATATTTGCAATTGAAGGAGGTGGGGTCGTCTGGTTTCAGAAGTCAAATTAGTGAGAAAATGGCCTCCAAACTTTGGTGACTTCCACAGCTTGAGAGTCCTTGGAAACTGCAAATTTAATTTTTTTTTTGTGCTTTCAATCAACGTTTTTCCATTAAATCCACGCATAAGTGTTTTTGAATGGACGTGCAAGGTGTTGAGCCAAAACACAAAAATTCGAACAAAAAAGTCCAAACTGGCAGAAAAATGCCAATTTCTCGGATTTCATTCACGGCGTCACTTTTCGCCTGATTCTGTCACTTTTAGTTAGCATGACTCAGCAGCCCACTGGAGCTCCCTGGCTCAGTGTCACGGGGTTAATGATCCCTGCAGTGACTTCGCCAGTGTCGGTTAAGAAGTTCACATTTTCGTCTACGTTTGAAACGATATAACTTCCCACACAGCAGACCATTACACTGATGTACTAAAAGCTCAACGTCTTGAGATTGATTTTGCCTTAGAATGGTTAATTTCTGTGCCTTTGTTCGTAGAGTACCGAATTTGTCCTATTTTAGTTACAAACTTATGAATAAATGATTGTTTACTTTAAAAAAGCATGATAGATCTCTCCAAAATTTGTGTTAAACTGATGACGAATATCATGCCTCTTACCATGAGAAATCTTAAATCTGCGCAAGTAGTAAGTCAAGTTATAAGAGAAGAAAGATGCACATCTGCATTTTTTTAGAAAAGACTCTCAGCTTTAACTCTTGTTTTACCATTAAACGAGAGAAAGTTACTCTGCGTTTGTTCATGAATCAAGCTGTGTCTGTGGCAGCCTGCATACAACTAAGAAAGATATATTATGCGATTTTTTAAAAACACAATGTGTAAATATATGGGTAGAGATAAACTTCTTGTACGGAATAAAAATAATGACAGCTAACACATTAACACATTAATTCTTAGTTTTTGTGCCTGAAATATGCGCGGACACGTATGAATCTAAAGTAATGAGAACATTGTCAATTATTGCAAATGGTAATAGAAATGAAAATAAAAGCTGGATCAGTCTGATTCAGTGTCACTGGAAAGCTAGAAATTATTCTTATAGCCCAATTACGAGAAGTCATCCCTGTTATTCAGTCAACTTAGACTTAGCGTTTCAAGAAAAATAAGGAATTTATGGAGTGTATAGCATTGTAGATGTATACTGGCACTAAAATTGACTTGTACTTTCTCATAGAGAGACTATAGGGTAATTTTTATAAACTTTTTAGAAAATATGCGAATATTCACAATTATATTAGATACACAAAGTTGTATTTGGAGAAAATTACTTCATAGCAAATTGTGCGCCAGATGGATAAATTTGCAAAATTACACCTTTCTATTATATGCGCAGATACCAGCTTTTCTGAGTATCTGCACAAATGTACTGTCGTTCGTGTTCCAAAAGTTCGACAGTTTTTGTCGTGCCGTTTTTTTTAAATTGATTTTTTTTTTTAGTCACACATGTCCAACAAATTTTACCATTTAAATTTGACGACTTCAGCGCGTCTAACGGAATAGCCAGACAAGTTACAATGTCCTTTCTTTTTTGACTATCAAGAGAAGAAATGCGTGCTTTAGGTGTATTAAATGATAATTACCATAAATACAAGGATACACCTAAAACTTTACGTTGAAAAGTACCAAAAATTAAGTCAGCCCAGACAGAGCGGCGACAGGAAGCTGACCCCCATGACCTCGACGTGATGTAAGGCGCTTGGCAGAAACTCTCCACTGAAGCTAAAATTCCACTGCTGGTGCCCCTTGCATTACAGTAGTCTCTGCCCAAGATCCCGGTGCATGGGAGCAAAGAAAATGCAGGATCTTAGGCAAACCGGGATCTTAGCCAACGAACCCAGGGAAGAATCTACGGTGACCCATGTTAAGGCTCATAATAAGAAAATGTTCTCCTTCCACTTTAAAATGAACTGACATGCCCCCTGGATGGGTTTATGACATATGGCGAGCAAAGACTGGTTAACATTGATGACCTATCACAGTGCACAGTGGCATGAGGCGTGCCATTTTCACCTATTATCCTATCGTGAGTCTCAAGACCTATGCTTATCCAGTTGCACTTCCCTTTAACCTGTCGAAAATGTATAGCTTTTCTTCTCTCATCAAGTTCCCTCGCCTTTGTCGTTACGAACCATTACGTTGTGACCACATAAATCAAAATTCAGTCTGTCTTGAAAACTCGGGAACAGAGAAAACTGCTGCAATGGTCAGGGAAGAGTTCACAGCACAATGTGATCCCGCCTGGAGCGAAGTGATATAAGTTTAGATAGAGAGCTCAGGTATGAGTGCGATTGTCAGGGAAAACAAACATGTAGGTTAGTTCACACATCAGTGTGATTCCATCTGGGGCAAACTTTCTACCGTTTCATCGAGTTCTACAACGCTTACATGATCACATTCACGAGAGTGGCTGATCTTTGACGCAACGGGCAGTTCATTGATCTCAACTTTTTACTCTTGGTTGATCGGCTGTGTCCGCCTGGGTGTTTGTTCCGTAAATTATTATCAGAAATGCGGGATCTTAGCCAAATGTAGACCGTCAGAGTGGATCAGAGAGGGATCTTAGGGGTGACTTTTGTATAGTAAAAATTCTGTTTTCTTAAAACAGCGGGATCTTAAGCAAACCGGGATCGTAAGCAGTGGGATCTTAGGCGGAGACTACTGTATTTTGACGACCGCCTGATTTCACCACAAAGCCTTACAAATATATTTCGAGTCGTCAATTTGCTGCCAATAAACGAATATAATATTTACCCTTCACCATCCACCACAAATGGAATGCTTTCAGTTTTTTTCTGAGCATACTCAACCACTAGTGTAGACCCTAAGAATTCAGCTTGATGAAGCTGGTCAACAACCTGGAAATTGAGAGTAGGCAGCATGAAAAGTATCATCAGGAGACATGCAAAGTGAATGAGGATATATAAAAGTAAGTGTTTGAGCATTTGTGTGAAAGGTTAAGTGTGTGTGTGCGTGGGGGGGGGGGGGGGGGGGGAGGGGGGGGGAAATGAAATTGCCTAAAGACTCTTCCACAGATATAATTTTCATCCATGACAGGAATAACATTATGTTACTTCTCTTTATCTCAGACTCTACTTTTTTTTAAAAATCAAATACATATAAATATATGTAATTTCTAGTCCATGGATCCTAACTTTTTGCTCACGAAATCCATCAATTTGAGTTCATGTTCAGATTACATTAAGTGTCAATTTTTTATTTTTAATGTCAAAATATTTTCAAGGAAAAATAAACTATTAATAAAAACATAAAAACATACCTCTGCAGCTCTTTCTTTACTAGAGAAAACGGCAAAAGCTGTGTGTTTCTGTGGATCGAAAGTAAGTAATGAAAATAAAAAAGGAAACATTAGGAAAAAAACACATGAAACCATAGAAACTGTATGTAGGCCTAGAAGGGGTTTTTTTTTTCGGAGTTCTCTCATTAAAGGACTACAAAGGGAACAAAAATAGAGTTTTAAATGAAAGACCCTAGTAATTACCACTGTTCATGAGCAACTGAGAGTGACAAATTATTTCCAGCCTTCACTAAATACAGTCGAACCCGTGTAAGACGGAATCGCAAGGGAGCCAAAATAAAATTCCGTCTTAGACATTTCAGTCTTAGACAGGGGAATTTAGTGTGGAGATGGAAGGGGTGGGGGGGGGGAAGGCCCAGCCGGTGGGATCAAGGGTCACTGGTCCGGTCAGCCAGCTATCACAAGTAAGTGGTCAAAACTTCACACCGCTCAGCTTCTATCCTCTCTGATAATGACATGCGTCAGTCTTATTCATCCAATTTCCACCAGTGCTTACATTTCATAGGACAACTGTTCTACCTCTATTAAAGACAGAAACGTTTGAACATCTCCTTTGCTTCCACCCTTAGCCCCACCCATTGGTGTAATAAGCACAGTCAACCAATGCCACCCCTCACAAGTATGTAATAACGATTCGAAGAACTCTTTTCTCGGCTGGCTGTACAATCAGGGCGGCAGGCATTGGTCAAACTAATTTCACACCTCTGGCCTCTGGCTACCAATGAAAGTTTCCGAACTGGAGCGGCACTCGAACACTTTCACTGGCACTTGTGATATTTCACATCAACACCACCCTGACCATCTTCATCGCTCAGGGCTCACATAGATGGGGTAACATCTACCCTCAAATTTCACCCCTACTCCCCTTCTTCGCCCTGCAGCATAGCGTTAAGTTTAGAGCCGACGGATTTTGTTTCAAATCAGGGCAGACGGGCAAAACATTTTCCATCTTACACAGGTAAAACCCTCGGAAGGGAAAGGATTTTTCTTTCCGTTTCCGCATTGGACAAGTTTCTGTTTTGTACAGGTAATTAAAGAGGAATTTATCAAGGGGGGAGCGCGGAGAATCCATTAGGACAGGTTTCCATTTTACAAATGTTTATGTTACGGCAGGTTCGACTGTACTAGATTCGTTAAGTTTTTAAGTTTATGAGGGGCAAAGTATACTTGCTGACAACTTTGTTCAGTCTGGCAAGATGATACAACAGTCATATTTTACTTACAGATCTTTTAACACGGTTTCACTTAAAAATAAAACAAACATCTCAAAAAGAAAAAAGGAACCTGATGTAAAAAGTGTTCAAGCAAAGAGGCCAGATAGAAATGTCTATTGTAGATTGATAAGTGATCATGTTTAATGCATCAAACAAACATGAATTTCATCTTACTTTAGCTCCTTCATGAAAGTCTTACCACTTCAAGCATTAGTGGAGTAAAAGTTTAAGTAGTCTACAACAAACTGCTACAACTTACCATTGGTCCACTCCTCCCCATAAGTCGAACTTGAGTTGCCCCAATATGATGAAGTAAATCTTTCCTTTCCTCTTGAGACAACTCACTAGGCAAATGCCTGAACAGAAGAGTTGATTCTTCCATGGTCAGATAGTTTTTTGCTTTGGAATCAATGAACCTTCAGAACAGTGCTTGCAAAAAAACAGACACTTCTATCTGTCGGGTCACAAAGTCACAACGTCCCAAGAACACAACACATGGTAGAGTGTTGACTTTTCTCCTCAAGGCCCACCTTAATAAAAAAGAACAAAAATTAAGATTATATTTGATAAATACAAAAAAATAATTAAACTTGAACTTCTAATATCATTGAGGCTGTTACAAACCAGCTTGTCCAGATAAGAAACAACATCTATGACACCTGAAAAATAGTTCCCTCCATGCTATCATGACACTCTGATGAACATACAATTAACTTCAACGAGTGCTTGCATCTCACAGGACCACTTTGACTACAATAAAACAGATACGATTGAATGTCTACTTTGTTTCCCCCCTTATAGCCCCCATCAATTGGTGTAAAATAAGCACAATCAACCAATGCCACACCCCTCTCATGCATGTACAACGATTCAAGAAACTTTTTTCTCAGCAGGTCAAATGATCAGGGCGACAGATTTCAAATTAATTTCACTCCTCAACCCAGAAAAGTTTCCATGCTGGAGCACCACCTGAGTACTTTCAAAAGCACTGGTGACTGATTTCACACCCACACCATCAGAAAACATTTTGCACCACTCTGACTCAGGGCTCACATGTTACATGGACAGGGTAACACCCAAGGCCAAGGAAGCCGCACACCAACCCCCATTCCTTTCCTCACCTGACGGTATGGTGTAAAGTAAAGGCTAGAGAACTAGAACTAGAACTAGAACCGATGGAACCAAACTTGGGAGTTTTGGTTCAAATCATGGCTAAGCGGGAAAAACATTGTTTATCTTAGACAAATAAAAACCCTCTGAAGCCGCCGAAGGGAAGGAATTTCTCTTTCCATTTCTGTTTCTGGGTTGAATGAACTGTAGGCCTAGTCTACATGAGGTGCTCGTTTTATAGAGAGTCAATCATAGAATTAATTTATCAAAGGGGAAGAGGGGAGATTCCGTTAAGACAGAGGTCTCTTTCTTATACGGGGTACCCAGTGGGGGATCGGGTCGGGTCAGTTTGCTAGCCAGATTGAGGGCGCGCAAAGCGGCTATCGTGGCACAAGCCGATCGCACCCGACTCAAAAACAAACACATTTGTATTCAGAAGAGGCTTGCGTACTTAATGACTTAATAATGATGGCTAGACTGACAAACAGCAAAAGATAGGCCTACTGAATAGCTGAATTGTAAATAATTTATTTTTTTTGCAATACTAAAAGTATATATATTTGTATTTAAGACAAAACCAAAATGTGCCTTACTGACAGTGCATGTATTTTAAACCTGAATAATTACAAATGAGACCTGTGTACTCAACTCAACAGGTTTCAGTCCGTAGGGCCTAACATAAGTACGGCTAGACTGGCTAGTTGTACTTAATAATGATGGCAGAATTGTATAAAATCTCAATTTGCAATAGATCTACCTAAAGTATTTCAGATGAAACTAAAGGGTGCCTTACTGACTTGCATGCGTTTCAAACAGGAAAAATTACTAGATATAGATCTAATGAGACCTCTGTGTACTCAAAAGGTTTCGGTCAATAGGGCCTAACCACAGGCGGCTAAACATAGAACGAAGAACCTGCTTGATTGGCTGCTAATTTTAGTAATGTGATGTCATCACATCCTGGGATACCTATAGCATAGACAATTTTTAATAGGCCGTGGAGATATGACATGTTGGGTCAGAGGCTTGACGTATTATCCGTGTCAATGTGTTTCGCACGGTAAAATTTTACACTTGCGGCAAACTGCAGCCCGTCAGCCATGCTCTGCTTGGTTCTTTCCGGTATGTAAATAACATTTCGGAATTCCTGTAGTGACACAAACCGCTTGTTTCGTACGAATGTCAACAATTTAATTCAAAGAGACATTGACAGGTTTGAGCTTCCTCATTTTCCGGTTCACTGCATCTATTGAATTCAATCTTTGAACTTTTCCTGTATGGGTATAAAAGAGACTATTCAAGCGCCACATAACGCAGAAAACTGAGAATCAGCAGCATTCCAGGCTTAGAGGTGAGTGTTAAGCTGTGAATCAGTCTCTTCATTTTTTATTCTATTCCCAGTTCTAGTTTGTTTAGCTTTTTTGAGTCGTGCCATGCGGTTGGCTATATTTACAAACGTAGTCACGTGATCTAAGGGGTATCTCGGTCTGACGCCACACAAGATGGCTGCTCTACCTAAAAATAGTTTGCGTCGTTCTACGTTTATTGGCATGTGCCCTAACTTAAGTACAGCTAGACTGGCAGACTAGCCATAAGGCTAACCACTGCCACTTCGTTTGTTTTCGGGCGACGATTCGGGTGATCATCTCAACCCAACCCCATCTGCAATGGGCACCCGGTATTAGAGAGATTTCCATCAGGCCTAAAGAAGGTTCTGCCGGCTCTAAACTTAATGCCATGGCCATGCCGCTGGGAAAGGAAGGGGAGTAGGGGTGCAATTTGGGGGTAGATATTACCCCATTATGTGAGCCCTGAGCGATGCAGATGGTCAGAGTAGCGTGGGTGTGAATACTCACGACTACCTGTGAGAGTGCTCAAGTAGCGAGCAACTACAGAAACTTTCCAGGGTAGCCAGAAGCCAGAGGTGTGAAATTAGATTGACCAATGCCTGCCGCCCCGACCGTACAGCCAGCCGAGAAAAGAGTTCCTCGAATAGTTGTTACATGATGGCAGTGAGGGATAGCATCGGTGGACTGAGCTAGTTACACCGGTGGGTGGGGTTAAGGGTGGAAGCAAAGGAGATGTTCAAACGTTTCTGTTTTTAATAGGTCAAACAGTGATCCTATGAACGGCAAGCACTGGTGGTAATTGGATAATAAGACGGACGATGTCATTATCAGAGAGGATAGCACTCGAGAGGTGAAGCTTTGACCACTGCTTGCCAACCAGACGAGCGACCCTTGGCCTTGACCCCACCGACTTGGCCTTTGAACCCCCAATCCCCATCCTTTCCATCTCCCCTTAAATTCCCCTGCCTAAGACGAAGTTTTTTTCTGGCTCCCTTGCAATTCCATTTAACACAGGTTCGACTGTACTTGAAACTGAATGAAAATTAAATTATCGGCAATACCAATGCCAATAGGGCAGGGTATCAACCATCCTGCCGACAAAAGGGTACTCTTGTACAACTGCGGTCCCATTTCGGGATACTAGTTTTGACCCCACCAACGATTACTTTTGGTTCTAAAAGATTATTTTTGATGCGCATGCTGATATGGAGAGATAACCTATCAAACCTAATTGCAAAACACCAAATTATGTTCAAATTCAAGGGGGGAGGGGGGGGGCATGCCCCCTGAAACCCCCTATGACCATGTTTTTGTTAGGTCAGGGGGACAACCCCTGAAACCCCCCTTGTTTTGTTAAAAACAAGGGAAATTTTACTGCTCATTTTGTAGGCTAGATCAACTGATAAAATAAGTATCGATACTTAGAAACTTACTCTGTGCTAGAGATGTAGATCTAGATCTAGATATAATGCAATTTAGATATCTAGATCTAGAATCTAGATCCTTTCTAGTCTAGTGGCAGTGGTAGGCTAGTGGTGCTCTGATTGGCTGTGATAGGCTAGTGGTGAATATTGTGTTAGGCCTATGGTTCCAGTTTTGGCAGTTCGGTAACTTCTGAAAACAGTGCAGTAAATATATTAAGTAAGTATAATCTACCCCTCGCTGTAAGTGTAAGAAAGAAAGAGGCTAGCCGTCCTTAACGATGGCTAGACTGCTAGGTTAGCCGTACTTACGGCTAAACTGGTTGGCTAGCCGAATTTTTAGTTTGCAGTACCTAAAGTATTTGTATTTGAGACGAAACCAGGTGCCTTAATGACAGCGCTTGTATTTTAAACCTGAATAATTACTATTAAATGAGACCAGTTTTCTAATGTTAATAGAGTCTAAGATAAGTATGGCTATACTGGCAGGCTAGGCGCTAGACTTCTTGGCTAGACAGCTAGGCTAGCCGTACTTCAGGCCAAGGTCTACAGTGAAAACTAAAAGCTAGACGGGTAACTTCCCATCTACTTACTTGTTATAATCATACCCCACAGAGATTTTCTTCACATGTGATACATTTCATTTTTCGAAAAATGCTTTGGTTGCCATGGAAATGGGGAAAAACAGCCGCCATCTTGGATTTTTAAAGTATATTTCCATGGAACATTTCTCTTTCATTATCCACCCAGCAGTCATGAAAGTTGGCACACATACTATCATTAACATCATGCACATTTTGTCTGATTTTCAGTTAACTATGAATAGCTGTATTTTTAACGATTTTTTAAAACTTGTGTATGTATATTATGCAATTATAAGCTCTCTCCTAACATTAAAAAATCGTTTAAAAAATTTTTTTCACCATATATACATATGAATGGGACAAAATTTGTATTTGATGCTAGTAAACACATGGTGTAAATTTGAAGCATGTCACACAAACAACAAAGGAGATTTGTAACTTCAAATGCAGAAAAATTGGTTTTTGAGAAAAAAAGCTTTTATAATTATTGCAAAAGTGTACTTGCCTACTGTTGTCATGATGTTTCCAACTCGAAAAAACAATTTAAAATGAGCCAGCAGCATGGCTTGGACCACCCTCAAGTTCTTCCAACTCCCTCTCCCTTCTAGTTCATGCCATGTGCCTCAAAGACCTTCTCTTAGACAGTTTCTCCTCCTCATACCTTTGACTTCAAGCAATCCGAATTGCTGCCCGTTATGTCACCAAGCTGAATTGGTACTCTCTCTCTCTCTCTCTGGCCTTACAGCCCCATCACAATACTGCTACCTTTTGGGCCATGGTTGAACTCAGCAATAGCCATCAGCATAGAAAACTTTACTTTTTTGGAAGAGGTAAACTTTACCTTCGAGCAATAGCTTCATATGACGCTATGAAGACTTTCATTTGCATTTTGAGTGGCATGAATTTTGTGATGGAAAAATACAACACAGTAGGTCAAGGAAGATAGTAGCGTGAGGAGGAGAAGACGACCTTTGTATCGAGACCAAATTTTACATTGTAGCGTTTATTTTTACCAGCGTAACTAAGGCCTATCTTAGCCCTACTTTTAGCACAAACTGTGAGTTAT